CCCCCCCCCCCCCCAGCAACCAGGCCTCCTCCTGGGCATGCTCTGGCTGTTCTCAGCGAGACTCAGTTCCAGGCTTTACCTCCATAATGCAGTTGGTGCTCCTAATATACCACCTGCCCCCAGCTAATTGATTCTAGAACAAGAGTGATCCTAAGCTCTAGGGAGCAAGAAAGTGTATACCCAGAGGTCTTTCTTAATTCTAGGAAATTCAGGTCAGTTGAATCACATGGAGATATAAACTGTTAACCTCACTATCACAGAAAGTAATCATTTACATTGCATTAAAATACATCAATGTATAATAATTCCTTGAGAGCTAAACTATTGCTTCCAAGGTTCACTTAAAGTCAAAACATTATGTAAGTGAAGTCTTGCTCGGAGAAATGAGAATAATTGTTTTATTATTTGTAAACTGTGATTTTTATCAATGATGTGATGAGGTGCTTTTAAAATGTTACAATTTGGGGAGAAAAACATACACTAGGCTTTGGCTCTGTTTTTTTCTTTTTTGGCAGCTGGCCTATGTGGAGACCCAAACCCTTGACCCTGGGGTTATCAACACTGTGCTGTAGCCAACTGAGGTAACTGGCCAGCCCAGCTTTGACTTTTTAAAACCTCTGTGTGACTTTATGTTTTATGCGACTTAGTCAATCAAATGTAACTTAATTTTTTTTTTTTTTGCTTTGACTTAGGTGTTCATTTTTTTTTTTCTGAAAGAAGAGGATATGGAATTGTTAAACTCAACGAACAGTAGCACAAAACTGATCCATCTCACCTACCCATTATGGAAAGGATGAATGAAAACTGGGATAGGTTTTTACACGAAACAGATTCATTGTTGTTAAATAAAGAGCATTTTCTATCTACTTGTTCTCTTTCTTTCAAATGTAATAAGTATTATTTTTATTTTATATCATACATCTGTATCACTGATATGACTTTCTTGCCTTTATTTCTATATAACAGAATATTGCATTTCATTGTATTTCATTTTTCAAATAACTTTTAAAGAACTAAACTCTCTATTGTCACTTAAGAGCAATAAGAAAATTATTTTAAGTATTAAAGTGTTTACTCTTAACTCAGTTAGTACAAATGGTGCTATGGTTTGAATGTTTGTCCCCTCCAAAGCTCATGCTGAAATTCAATCCCTAATGTAATAGTATTAAGAGGGTAGAAAATCCAACTATGATTTTGATTTAAGGTGGAGCTTTTAAGGTAAGAAGTGATTGGATCATGAGGGCTATATCACCTTTTTATTTCTGTTGGCTGGCCAGTATGGGGATCTGAACCCTTTACTTCGGTGTTACAAGGCTGTGCTCTAACCAACTAAGCTAACCGATAAGCCCACTATGCCCTCTTGAGTGGTTTAATACATTTATGGCTTAATGGATTAATGGATTAATGGACTATCATGGGAATAGATGGGTGGCTTTATAAAGAGATGAAGAGAATATTTTAGCATGCTTTGTCCTCTCACCATGTGATGCCCTGGGCTGCCTCTGGACTCTACAGAGATTCCCCAATAGGACGAAGGCCCTCACCAGGTGCAGCCCCCCAACCTCAAACTTCCAAGGCTCCAAAATAGTGAAAAATAATTGTTTCTTTATAAATTACCTAGTTTCAGGTATTCTGCTATAAGTGACAGAAAATGGACTAAGACAGGTGGTAAAAGACTATTTGGAAGTCCTTACACATAGCCGTGGCACATGGACAAATAGGGGAGGGAAGTAGTTTCCAGAGAGGTGTTTTACCTTCAGTGACCAATTGATTTTGATACACTGCTTTGATACCACATGGATAAAAATGAGTATTGCATATTCTATTTGTGAAGGGAACTGGATATGACTAAGGAGGCCCAATATTTTAAGGTGACTAGGAATTCTTCTGGATGGAAATGATTTTTAATGATAACCAAGGGGGAATAAAAGGAAGAAATTTTATTATAGAAAGAGAAGCCTTCTTCTTTCAAAATAGCTTATTAAATAGAACTTATTTTAAACTACAAATATTGAAAAAGATACTTTAAAAAAAGAAGACTGCATCTCTTTTAAACATCAATTTCATAATTTCTATGGTTTATTGAGTTGTTTAAAAACATACAAAGTTTAAGCATTTCTTACTTTGTGTTTCCTACATGCTCAAATTAGTACATTCTCTAGCCTTAACCATTGTAGAAGAGGTTTAGTGATACTAGAAGGAGCATCAAAGCCAGAAGAAAATTAAGCATAGTATGTTCTTTTTCTAATTTTTGCCCTCACATTGTATTTAGTAATAGATATGTCCTCTTTCTCGTATGCTTGGTAGTCACACTGCTAGGTCATATGGGCTTATGGCATTATATTCAAAAAACCACCATGTTGATATCATTATTAAAAAGTTTGGCTGTTAGAATAAAGTAAAATAAACCACAGTTGCATGGACATTACTGAAGAACTGCAATTAATACCCATGAAGTGTCTTTGTATTCTATCTTCCATTTTCTGGAATCTCCTATTTATGTGGAATGCTGTTTTTTACTAGAAATTTTAAATAAGATTTCCTCTTTACCCCTTGTAGTAATTTCCTGTGGCTACTGTAATAAATTACTTCAAATATAGTGGCTTAGAACAACACAATTTATTCTCTTACAATTTTATAGATCAGAAGTGTAAAATTGTGTTTTATGGGGCTAAAATCAAGGTGACAGCAAGAATGGTTTCTTTTGAAGGCTCTAGGAGAGAATCTATTTTCTGCCTTTTCCTGCTTCCAGAGGCTGCCTGCATTCCTTGGCTCACGACACCTTAACCACATCACTCCAACCTCTTGCTTCCACTGTCATGTGGACTTCTACTGACTTTGATACTTCTGCCTCCCTCTTATAAGGACCCTAGTGATTACATTGGGACCACCCAGATAACCCAGGTTAGTCTCCCCATCTCGAGATCCTTAACTTAATCACGTGTGCAAAGTCCTTTTGCCACGAAAGCATCATATTCAGAGGTTTCGAGGATTAGAATATGGACATCTTTGGGGGGGGTGTTATTCAACCTGCCATGCCTTTATTTTCTTGTCTATTTTTATCCTATTGCATTATACTTTTATGAATTTATTTTCTGCCATAAGGTGTTAAAACAAACAATATAGTTTGGATCTGCTTTAAAAACCACCACTCTGTGTAATGGACATTGCCTTTTTTGACTCCGCCCATGGATAAGGTTTCTGGGAGTCAGGGCCCAAATTCTTGCTACAGAAGTTCCAGGAGCCAAATCCTCCCTCTCCTCATGGCCGGGCATTTAGACTGTGGCCCCATGGCTGTGGCTCAGCCCATGTGGGTTCCAGCTCTATGCAGTAGAGACCATTTAGACATTTCTTCCAGGAGGGCAGTGGCAGCAAGGGTCCAAGGCAGCTCCACAGCTCCTTGCTGTGTTTCTTGCTGCTAAGCTCCCTCGGTACCTGAACCTGGGCTTCCAACCTTCCCTTCTGAGAGCTACCTGTTATCCTTCAAATGATTTTCTTTCAGGCTTGTTTTAGTCATAGTTTCTGTTGCTTTCACAAGCAACCTTCATTGATACAGGGTTCTTTTTTAATGATTTTTAAAATAATTCACTATAGCCTGGGGGAGGTTTCATCATAATTATGTACAATTAATTGAGTATAGAAAATAAATTGCAATAAGATTTATCAATAGATGACTATTAGTTTATTAATAGATAACTATTAAACCAGGCTCTTAATCCCATGTATAGCTAAGCCTATACAATAATAAATGGTTCCTTAATGATAGCCATGAGACCCACATTACCTTTTGATCACCAAAGAATGATTTAAGTTTTGTTTGGGTATTGAGTTTGTTTAGTTTTTAATTGATAGTACCAAATATGGACTTAATTCTCAAACAAACAAAATATTTGATCAACTGGAATGCTATAGCCTTTGACCATGAGATAAATAGAAATGTATTTAGTAGTTCTGTCATTTGCCACAAGTTGATTTTCCTAATTCAAAAAGCTTGGGTATTGCAGCCAATCTTGAGAAAACAACACATTCCAAATATGTTTGTTCATTATTCAAATGAACACAGTGTTTGTGTTCAGCCTCCTCACTGAGTAATATTTTACCCATAACACTTATTGAATGCCTGCCATGTGCTAGCCTCTGTACGAGGTGCTGGGCACAAAGATGAATGCAGCTCCTGGCTCCTCGTACAATGCCTGGCAGTGGCAAGAGGCACTCAGCGAATGCTTTTTGAATTAATGACATAATCCCTGCCTCTAAGGGGCTCTATCCTGTGGGAAAGACAGACTCCTAATTGGGGCATACTGTGTGCCCAAAATAGTGTATCTGAGTGAGAGTGGATATAGAGAGGAACTGCTGGCATGTCTCAGACACCTCATGAGTTCCTAACACGATGTTGAGGTCACACTGTCCTGTCCAGTGACACCTCCTGGCTCTGTCAGAATTGTTATTCAGGTCTCTCCTTCCAGGCCCTCATACTTAAGCTTGTGACACTGTGTTTGAACTCCTATTAATAGGCCTAGTCAGCTCCTCAGCAGATTGCGTCTTAACATCAAACAGCCACAATCCCCAACAATGACTTCTTGGCGCAAAGCCAATCCTCAAGCATCAAAGCTATATTCCTTGCAAATCAGCTCCACGTGATGATAAATAATGGCATCGGGATTCCAAACCAATTATTCCATGGTGAAAGGCATACTCTTCAAGGGCACACTGGGCTTTATTTAAAAAAACAGTAACATTGCTGATACCGGCCCTGAAATGTCAACAATGGACACAGCAAACTGAGGAGAGGAATTATCAGAAAAAGGTGCATAGGTTCATGTCGCCCACATTACACCAACCTGGAAAAGTTTGAGAAAATGTGTGTTTAAGCACAATTTAAAAGTTTCTGACTTGAGCCCCCAGTGGCAAAAACTACTGGCACCCCACTGGCAAAACTGCACTTCTTGTCTAGAACCGTATACTGGAGTAAAAGCACGTGCTTTTAAATTCAGATCTCAACACTCGCGTTAGCTGTGTGACCTTAGTCAAATCACTCTCTAAACCTCAGTCTCCATATCTGTACAATGAGGGATATTAAGCCATATACTTAAGTCTGTTTTATGCATAGCAATATCATGCTGAGAGTTCAATAAATGGTAGCTTTATTGTTAATTAGAACTACTGTGCCCATCACCATTCTAAGTACTTTACAAACATCAGTTTAGACCTCATACCAACCCTGTGAGGTAGTTATTTTTATCCCCAATGATAGATGAGTAAAATGAGTCTCAGGTTAATTGCCCAACACCCCAGGTAGTGAGAGAGAAAGCGGATTCATACTCAGGCTTCCCGCCTTCCATGGACCGGCTCTTCCCCACACTACTGTGCTTCTCTCTGACAGCATCAGGGTCCTCCTCTTTGCTGCCCCCTCCCTCTCTATTGCTCCCGTGACTCCTCGTGTCTCTCTCTTGACCTTACCAGGACAGGACAGTCATCAGCACTGTATTCACCTGGGTTATTGGACAATCTGCCTGATGGGCCACATTCCCATGGTAGATATGCAACAAAGAACCCCTGCAGGGACCCTCAATGTGCCGGCTCAGTTTGAAACAGGATATTGTATTTGACTCAAGCAACACAATGCTCCCCAATCATCAGCGACTAAGCTATTAACTAAAGCATAATGAAAAAAGCACTGGCTTTGGAGGGTTTGGAAACTTGTATTTAAGTCCCAGATCAGGGATCTGAGCTGTGTAAATTTAATCCGGCACTTAATCTGTCTGAGCCTGTTGTACTCTGAGTTAACGTATGTGGCTGGTTATTCTCTGGTTTTTCCCCCAGATTTATTTGTCTCCCAATTCTTTGCTCTTCTCTATGGTCTAAG